TCTTATTTCTTTATTGCAAAACGCTAAAACTGGCACCGTTTTGGAGAGAAATGGGCTCTCATTTTAACCCATATCATGGTGTGTGATGCTGAACTATGAGTTTCTAATGGTGTTTGTATTTGCACTGTTCTAAACATCAACAACAGCATGCTGTCAGAGTGGCCTTACACATGATTTTAAATCAATTTTTTCAAACTTTATGATTTAAATGGGGATGATTGTACTGAGAATAACTTTCATCTTTTCTTCAACTGAATACTGTTTCTGTGCTGTTTTGATGTATTTTAAAGAGTTGGCAGTCAAAATTAAAACTGCTGGATGAAAGATATTCTTCATTCTTTATGACAAACAAGAAAATGTGAATTACAGAGTGTACAACGTTTTTAAAATGTATCAATTGTGGTGTACAGCGTTTATTATGAGGGGGTAGAATCCACAGCTCAGTACTCACTACTCAATACTCATGAGTACTTTTAAATAGGCTACTCTTTTACTCTTACTCAAGTAGTTTTTTTGGACAAGTATTTTTACTCTACTCGCACTACATTTTTTGGAAGGTAATGGTACTTTTACTTGAGTATATTTGTTCAGTACTCTTTCCACCACTGAGTATAATAAACCTAAAATAAACCTATGCCCATAACAATTATTTATATTGCTGTATGGACAGATTTAGCAGGAAATTGCATACGTTGTTGGTGTTGTATATATGTGACCCTGGACCACAAAACCAGTCTTAAGTCGCATGGGTATATTTTTAGCAACAGCCAAAAAAACATTGTATGGGTCAAAATTATCGTTTTTTTTTTTTATGCCAAAAATCATTAGGATATTAAGTAAAGATCATGTTCCATGAGGATATTTTGTAAATTTCCTACCGTAAATATATGAAAACTTAATTTTTGATTAGCAATATGCATTGCTAAGAACTTCATTTGGACAACTTTAAAGGCAATTTTCTCGATATTTAGATTTTTTTGTTTTTTGCACACTCAGATTCCAGATTTTCATAATATAGAATATTGTCCTATCCTAACAAACCATACATCAATGGAAAGCTTATTTATTCAGCTTTCAGGTGATGTATAAATCTCAATTTCAGAAAATTGACCCTTATTACTGGTTTTGTGGTCCAGGGTCACATATATGTCATGTCATATATCCGTACACAGATAAAAGTCCAGTTGTAAGGAGTTTCACACCAGTGCCTCGAATCACATTTATCCGTGCACAGAAACAGAGCCAAAGCCCAACCAAAGCAATGTTCTTCCCCGAGACACATGCAGTTTTATATTAACGGCTAGAGGGCCAAATGTTACATAGTGTAGCTTTAAATGCATTTTACTGATTTGGAGATATAAAATAGATGTTTTTGTCTCTGTTTGCAGAGGCCATCGTGTTCTTCTGTTTTCTCAAATGACCAGGATGCTGGATATTCTGCAAGATTACTTGGAGTACAGAGGTACTAAGACACGCTTTGACTGTGTCAGAGCCTTCACCTTTTCTTATAAACTGTGGTCTGGTGATGTGCATGACAGATCACCAAAGAGCTTACTTTTCTTATCTTAATGGAATCAAGCCAGAAAAATGTCAACAGACTTTAAATGATGAAATTAAGGTGAAAGCACAAATCACTTAGTGTTACCACCCAAGACTCATTTTAAAAAGAAATTGTATTAGCTTTGTATTCTTAAACATATGTTTGTTTGTTCTCAATTTGGAACATTTATGTAACCGTACCTTACATGCTCTCCTAGTAATCTAGTCTCTGATCTAGAGCAGTTGATGTGGGTTCAGTATCACATCCTGTGTTTGTTGCAGTATGTGCGTTAATGTGCTACCGTCTGTGTAACTGCCAGCTCTGATTGGGCCTTCCTACTTCTCTTCAGGTTACAGTTATGAGCGTCTGGATGGTTCAGTCCGGGGAGAGGAACGTAACCTAGCTATCAAAAACTTCAGCTCCAAAGATGTTTTTATATTCCTCCTCAGCACCAAAGCTGGTGAGTTCACAGTCTGGGAAAGTCAATCTGAGATTCACACCATCACACTCTATAATCAACTGCAGTGCAAATCCATTTTATTAGTTACTATATTTTTAGAGTATTATATTTGAATACCATTCCCGGTTGCAAAATTGCCCACATGTGTCTAATGCAAATCTTATCTGCATCTTTTAAACAGACACATGTAATTGAAAACTGAAAGTCGTGACAAGAGATAATGCATAAATATTGAGGCCATGCATTAAAACTATCTCTGTGTGAGATGGCGGTGCAAAAATGTGTGATATAGAGAGTCAGTTTATCTTATGCCATTTTTTTTTTTCAGATTATAATTACAGCTTCACTTTCAATGCAACATTTTATTTTTACACTGACATTTACTACTTCTTTTATTTTTTGCCATTCTCTTCATCAAAGAATCTTGAATATATATATATATATATATATATATATATATATATATATATATATATATATTGAGGAGTTTATTTGCAAAAACAGATAACTTCAAAAATCATGTTTTTTTTATTATGTTATCATGTTTTTTGTGTTTTATTGTGTTAGTTAGCTGTATTTTTTTGTTATTTTTTACCTAATCAAAATAACCCAACTGCAGTTTGATTTAGATTAATTGGAATGCACAATGAAAAAACATGATTTTTTTATTGATTAATTTCCAACTTTGCCATCACAGGAATAAATAAAATATATAAAATAGAAAACAGTTATTTTAAGTTGTAATTATATTTTGCAATATTATGTTTTGCTGTATTTTTGATCAAATAAATGCAGACTTGGTGAGCATAAGAGACTTTCTATACCCAAACATTTTTGTTGTTTTAGGAGGGGTTGGCATGAACCTAACAGCAGCAGATACGGTGATATTTGTGGACAGTGATTTCAACCCACAGAATGACCTACAAGCAGCAGCCAGAGCCCACAGGATTGGCCAAACAAGGTATTCAACTGGCAACATTTTATGTTGTTCTATCTAGTTTTGAAGTGTCAAGCATATAAAAAAATAAGTACAACAAAAGTGATCCATGTGACTTCTAATCCCTGTCCTTAGAACCATTCGACCATTTTTTTGTCCTTTTTTGGAACTTGACAGTTCTTGGTCACCATATGCTTTCATTGTATGGCACAGAGCAGCATTAACATGCATTAAATGTCCCAGTTTAAGGACACTCTGCTTGTATATGTAGATAAATTCTCTTTTTGATCGCAGGCCTGTTAAAGTGATCCGGCTTCTCGGTAGAGATACTGTAGAAGAGATCATCTATTCCCGTGCTGTGTCTAAACTACGTCTCACAGACACAGTGATTGAGGAGGGACGTTTTTCTCTGCTGGACCAGGCTCAATCTGCAGCTTCTGGCCTTCAGGTGGAGAGAGACTTAAGCTCAACACATTGTGACTTTGCCCTGTTTCCTGGTTCATATCTTTGTCTGTGTGCTTGTGGTTTCCCTTCTTGTGAAACTGCACATGTTAACAGTTTCTCAGTATGCTATCACTTACATCCCCACCAATCTAGTTGAGTGAGATCCTGAAGTTCGGTGTGGATAAGCTGCTGTCATCAGAGGAGAGCTCCATTCAAGACGTAGACCTCAGGCTGATCCTGGGGCAGTCTCGAGACGGCCGATGGCTATTGGATGAAGAGCATGTCAAGCTTAATGAGAGCGATGAAGAGGAAGATGAGGACATGGAGGGTCAAAGTACGACACTTAGCTTTTGTTCAGTAATCTTGTTGTAACTGGCACTTGAAAATTAGATGATCCGTTAATGTCTTTTCTGACTTTCTAGACCACATGTACTACTTCGAGGGTAAGGACTACTCTAAAGATCCCAGTGCCGAGGATGAGAAGACCTTTGAACTGTTACTTGAGAAGCAGTTAGCTGATCTAGAGGATGCTGGGAAGGAGGGCCGTGCACTTCGTAATAAAGCCGGGGTAACTTATTTGAAAGGTTACAGTACTATTCAAAAAATTTGGGTCATACATGTATTTATGTATATCTCAGTTTTACTATTATTTATTACTACTATCATTATTTTATTCTTTTATTAGTACTTTTATTCAGCATGGACACATTACATTGATCAAAAGTGACAGTAAATTATGAAATTATTTAGTGTAAATGATTGTTACAAACAATTCTATTTTAAAATAAATGCTTTTCTTTTTTTAACTTTCTTTTCATCAAAGAATCCTGAAAAAAGTGTCAGGGTTTCCACAAAAATATTAAGCAGCACAACTGTTTTTAACATTGATAATAATAATAAATCTTGCTTGAGCATCAAATCAACACATTAGACTGATTTCTGAAGGATTGCGTGACACTGAACACTGGAGTAATTGCTGTTGAAAATTTAGCTTTGCCATCACAGGGATAAATTACATTTGAAAATATATTAAAATCGATAACGGTTATTTTATGTTGTAATAATATTTTACAACATTACTGTTTTATTGATCCAAAAATGCAGCCTTGGTAAACATAAGAGACCTGTTTTAAAAAACATTAAAAAATCTTACCAACCCCAGACTTTTGAGTGGTGGTGTATAATGTGAATTAAATTGTTTAGATTGTTAGTTGGTAAAAAAAAATTCTTTCATGATAAATAGATAATAATTCATATTTTAGTATTTCTTTTTATTTATTGTATTTATTGTATTTATTCATGTATTTATATTTAATTAAAATAAACAAAAAAACAAAATGTGTGTTGCTGCTCATCAGATGTCCCTGTCTGGGCCCTTGATCGACCCAGGGAGGAAGAAGAGACCTCTTACAGTATCAGAGTTAGAACAGAGACGTCAGAAGAGACAAGAAGCTGCTGCAAAGAGGGCGAAGCTACAGGAGGAAAGGAAAAAGCAACAGGAAGAACTAAATTACAAGAAGAAGTAAAACAAATATATTTCTGGCATTCTGTTGCATATTTTTGGCCAGTATATACTATATTTATTTGTATGTTCCTGTGGATGTCTATTTTATAGCCTTGTTTGTATGTGTGTCCTTCAATGGCAGGATGGCATGGTGGGAATCATGTGGCTACAAATCGCTGTGCTTGCCGCGAGTCGACAGTGAGGGTGAGGATATAGAGCCTGATGAAGATGATGATGATGTCAGCTGGAGCTCCACTGATTCGGATCACACAGCCATTCGCTATGTGCTGGGTGATGTAACTCACCCTCAGGCTGATCGAGAGGATGCCATTATTGTGCACTGTGTTGGTATGTCTCTATTAAAACGTCTCGCTGTCAGAAGACAACTGTTAACATATTGATTATCCTGCATGATATGTTAACAAATATGGGGCCTTTTTATAACAGTCTCAGCTTTCTGCTAATTTGGCATGATGTGTTGTGTATGTGTGTTTATTGTGTAGATGACTCTGGACACTGGGGCCGAGGAGGATTGTTTACCACACTGGAGCTCAGATCAGATGAGCCGAAGAAGCAGTACGAGTTGGCTGGAGACATGGAAGGTGACAAACCTTTCCTGTTTGCTGAGACGGTCTAACTCATGCTGTGTCAAAACAAACATTCCACACTGAAATCAGTATCCAGTTCACAGCTCATTATGCTGCCTGCAAGATAATTGTTCATAAAACTGTCAGCATTGATTTAATACCTATTAATGTGATGTTTAAATGTTGGGGATTTCGCAAAGCTATCAGAGCTATAAAGCTAGTAGTAACATTTTAGTTAGAATGTAGTAGAACCGAAGCTTTTGGTTAACCAAAACCAATTGCACAATTCCAATTCTGCACTATATTCTCTAAATGTGTTACTAACTAAAACTATTCATTTTATTGTTCAAAAGAACCGCATGTATTTGAAATAGAAATCTTTTGTAACATTACTGGTGTCTTTACGGTCAATTTTGATCAATTTAATGCATCCTTGCATTAGTATTCATTTGTCAAAAAAATTTATAAAACTTTTGAATGGTAGTTTATATTTAACAATGATATAAAATTATTAGATTTTATACATTTTCAGTGAGTGTTTGTTGACTTCAAAGGTAAGTTAAATATAAAAAATAGGCTGAAACGAGCATGCACAATTCAATATCCAGTGAACAAAATGTATAAATGACAAAGTGATAATTGTGCGTTGCAGACTTGGAACTGGGGAATGTTCTGCTTTTTCCTATTGATGACAAACAGTCGAGGCTCAGTGGAAGAGACTATGTGAGTCGGCAAGCTGTTTATGTCTTTAATCTACTGCTGTTAATTATTTTTAATCATTAATTTATTTAATAATTGTATGCCTCCTGTTTCTCTAGCTGACACTTATAGTTGCTCAGCAGAGGGATACAGCCAACAATTTGTCAGGCATTCGGCTCACTGCCTTGGATGAGGGCCTCAAGAAGATCTACAGAGATGCCAAACAAAAGAAGGGTACCCAACGCTTGTTTGTGAAATTAGGTTGCAATGACGTGGCTTTCTCTAGTCACCTTATAATCAAATGAAAAAAATTTGAAATATAATATAAAAATCTATTAATGCAGTCAAAACAGATGGTACAGCTGCCAATGAAATGCACATCCTTGCTGCAAACCTGCTGTACTAAAACCTAAGTTCAGTGCACACCCCTTTTTAAGTATAAAGATTTGATGGGATTGTTTCCAAGAGGTGGATTCATTTCAAAACGCTTAGAAAAGCGTACTCCCAAGGCCTAGGCATAACAGAAACTTACCTAGTCTAGACTGTACAGCGGTATTTTGTTTTTGCTCATGTCTGCAGATTTAAGATGCTTCTAAATAAGAATGTGTGTAATGTAGCAGCTGTCTTTTTAAATGGATCATTATGCTTTTAAGGTCTTTCACAAGGACTGTGTTTATATTTGACAGCTTTTTGTGTAAACATGCACTGGGAGGACGTGTTTGTCTATTGTGTTTGTGTCTCTCGCAAGACTTCAGCTTCGAAAAATGTGTTCTGTGTAAATGGCCATTTAGTGTAAATGGCTCTTTAGTTAACATTTTCTGTGTTTTCTTCAATAGCAAGTGTCCATCTGCCTCGGATTGGTCACTCCACTAAAGGCTTCAACTGGTATGGAACAGAGCGACTCATTCGCAAGCACCTGGCCACCAAAGGCATCTCCACATTTATGTATCCTACCCGAGAAGAACTGAAAAGTTTGCACTAATATTTTCGCAAAAACTGCATACTTGTAAAACAATGAACTAAAGTCGCGCTTCCCTTTTAATAAGAAAGAAAAAGAAAGCAGCAGTTAAGAAAGCATCTAATAATAGCGACTCCAATCAAATCTTGTCATATTTATTTAAATAGCACTAAATATAATAGTTTGCTTTAGAGCAAAGCAGCTTTACAGTATTTAACTTGAAAAACAATGTCAGTGTCACTTTCAATTAGAATTACAACTTCAGTTTTACTATGAAGCAGCTCTCCAGTTAGATCATGATTTTATTGACGTCTGACGTCAACGGACTGAAGAAATGAACCATAGAAAATTTCCACACCAAGGAAGGAGAAGCACCACAGCACGCCTACTTGTTACATAATCTCCACAGACGAATGGCAGTTTGAAGGTGGCAATTAGCCGGAGCAAACCTTTCTGGAAAGTTTGCTTTGGCAAAATGTCTTGAACTACCTAAACAAACTCCAGACAAACTTTGTTTAGCCTAATTTTGCTTTCGATTTCGTTTGAAGAACATTGGGGCCTTTAGAAACAACAATGAGCATATTTTGTTATCCTTGACTTGTTTTTCAGCTACTATTATAAACGAGCCACTTCACACTCTTCTACAGTTTCTTCTACCACATGCACATCTACTCCATCAACCTCACACTCGGCCTCAGACCCAGCAGCATCCTTGCCATCTGGGTCCCCACACTCCTCCAGTGCCCTTGGTCACAGTGAAGACCTTACAAAGTCACCAAAACCCTCCACTATATCACATGAAGGTCAGGACGCACCAGGGTTGGCTGACTTTATGAGAGGTGTTCATGTCTACTTCTACAACATGGCTGCTACAGAGAAGAAGAAGCTCGCCCGATACCTTATCACATATCCTTTCACGTTCCATCTTTACCCACACGTTCAACAAAGCCAACAAACTACTACACTACAACATGTCTATCATCACATTTATAAGAAAGCTTGTTGATGTTGGTGTGAGCTAATAGTTTACACCTTAACGTTTCTGCACATATGACGGCGATGAAGAGGATCTCATGAGCTCACACGTCACTCATATTGTCGGAGAGGTTCAAAGTCCTGTCCATGCACAGGTAGTACAATCAAAACTAACTTTTTAAAGAGGTTTTAATTTGCCTAATATTTACATTTATTAATTTAGTAACAGCTATATGCTGTCTTTTTTCTTCTCTTTCAGGAACTACGAGATCTATTGCATCAGTACCCTCAGACCCTGCTTGTAAAGAAAAAGTGGTTGGAGTCTTGCTTTGCTAATCAAAGGAAAGTCAGTGTGTCTAAATATGTAATTAGGTTAACTTGACAAAGCTCCTCCTACTTTCCTTTCAAGTCAGTTTGCCTTCGGTTTATTCACAATCACATTTAGTATCCATTTAGAGTTTGAAATGAACTGGTCTCTCCCTGTATATCCAGTTACGGCTAACTGACGGTAAGAGGTTTTTGTCTTACTATGGATTAAATAATGAAGCATTGGTTTCTATTTCAAAAGAAACAACAACAGCTGTGGTTTCACACTCTGGAAAGATTTTACAGTAAACACAGATTTACTTTCTTTATGCACTTATCTGCATGGTTAGAATGAGTTCATGAAACTTTTACATTATTTGGCATTTTTCTACACGATTTTACATGTGCTGTGGTTTAAAAACAGCAGAAAAATATGTAACTGAGCAAATAAAATAAATATTAAAAAAAACAACTTAATTTTTTTATTTTTTTTTTATTTTTTTTTTTACAAAATCCCAGATAAAGATGTAAAAGCTGTTCATTGTCAGATCTCGGATGTCAGTTTTACTGAGAAATGCAATGCACTAAAAACCAAACCACTGATGGCTAAGATAATATGACAGTTATCAGATGCTTATGATATAACTTATGTTTCTGGAAAGTCTCGTTGACCACTTTTTAATTATAATAATAAAAAAGTAACCTCCAGCGAACTACAGTAAGTGATGCATTGTGTTGTTTATCCTTGTTTTTATTCACAGTGATATAGTCCTAGTGTAAATATTGTTTTTTGTTTTATTGCCTCATGGTTTGTCATTTTAGCAGAACTCCTGTTCATTTGGTGCTTCCAGTTCAAAGACCCAATATGACCTAAAAATAAGTTCTTAGTGCTGATATTTACCTTTCATTTTAGTAAAATTGTTGCTTATCTGTATAGGTGTTTTTATTGTTCAGACAATATTGTAACAACATTGTTGTCAGTAATAGTAACTAATATATTATTAGGCTAGTTGATTAATAAATGTTAATTATTAATCATATTGTTTATAGTCAGTATTCGTGCCAATGTTCTCATCTCAATGTTCTACCATCAAAGTAATTATTTTGCTGTCAAGTGATTTACAAACACTTTGCGAATCGGTTCTTCAGAATAATTCAAAAGAACAATTCGTTCATCACTAGTTGTATTGTCGAAGGCAGATAAACAAGCGCTCTGAGGATGTGCTTTCTGGGAAGTGGGCGGAATTTGTGGTGTGAGTACGCAGGTGTTGAGAAACTAACTTCCAAACAGTATGTGCTTCGACTGCTACAGCTCGTGTGCTCTACACGGATATTAGAGAGGTATCGAAATTCAATAATTCACGCGACTATATCTGCTGATCAGGTATGAACGTGTTTTATGTGGTTTATGTCACGTCGGCGAGCAGTTTGTCTCGGACAACTTTGGCGTCGAATAAGTTATATGAGAGCTGAGGGGGAGTTTTATTTTGTCTATGTGTTGTCTTTATTATGTTGTATTTAAGCTTTTAAAATGTTTTATAAGCTTTCATTTTGGGAGGTGTTACCTGTATAGCAATATGTTTTGAAGGTAGAGCGAAATGTGAGACACTGGACGTTATGTAGACCCGCGGCAGTGACACGTTGCTATTTTGGACGAAATATTTACAAAATACTATTTAATTAAGAACTTTGGTAACTCTTTATTTTAAAGTGTCCATGTTACACGTTACTTACTATTATAATAACAATAAATTATGCATAATTACATGCAAAGAACCCTGAGACAAATCCTAGTCCTAATACTAGGAACATGAAGTTAATTATTATTATTATTATTACTCGGTACTTAAATGTAATTACACTGCGACAAGGACACTTTAAAATAGTGTAACCAAAACTTTTTATTATTATTATCATTATCATCATTATTATAAGAAATGTTACTAAAATGTCCTATTTAATGCATTATGATAACAACAGTATTTTGACGCTTACTTTTTTTATAAGAGCGTGAATGTAATGCTTTCATTTATGCGTTTTAATTAAACGTCTATCAATCATCTACTGAACTTTTCAGAAAGGAGAATGACACGGTTTAACTTTGTAACTCAGCGGTGTCTGTAGATTCTATGTTCTAGTCACTGAAGAAATTATGTATGATATAGTGTTCAGTGTTATGCTAATGTAAGATATTAGGTCTCTTTTGTGCATTTGATATTGACGGCCTTAATTACCTGTGATTTTCCCATGTCTCATTTTGGTTTCCACTGCATATTAAGGTGTTTTCCACTGATGTGTAAAGTGCACTGAATTTCATACTGTAAGTTGAGAGAAAAAGCTAGAGAGAGAGAAAAAAAAATCCCTTAGCATAATTGTGGGTTCCTGTATTCAGTAGCCAAAGGTTGCTTGTTTTTCTCAAATGCAGTTTTATTTAACAGGGTGATCATCATTCAAGGTTACCTGTGTTCATATCTTATTAATTTATTACAGATTGCTGACTGGGGATATGGAATGGCTGCAGCTCTTTTGTATTAGGCACAAGAATGATGCCTTCTTCGCAGTGCTTGCAATATAGGTAAAATATACATCTTATAATGACAGAAATGGTCATTGAGGTACTCTATATGGACAATATTGGGACACAGCTTAATTATTAGCTTAAAATCAGATGCTGTGTATTAAAATCAAGCACCCATTCTGCATTTACAAACATTTGTGGGAAAATAAAAATTGGTCATTCTGAAGAGAACAGTGAATTTAAGTTGCGATAAATCAGTTTGTGAAATTTCATCCCTATTATTCGATGGTCAGCTATAAGTGGTATTATTTTAAATTCAGAATAGCATTTAGAAACAGCAGCCATCAAGCAGAAGACTGTAAAGCCACAGAGTCACCGAGTGCTGCGGCACATGGTGCGCGAAAGTCACCAACACTATGATGATTTCATAGTTGAAGAGTTCAGTGGTTGGATGAGTTTGGTGTGGAAGTATTTGACTGGCCCGCACCGAGCCCGGCCTTCTCGTCCCACATCAGTGCCTGACCTCACAAATACTCTGTGAATGGGATGAATTGGCAAAAACTTTAATGGAAACACTCCAAAATCTTGTGGAAAGCCTTCCCAGAAGAATATAAGCTGTTATGTAGATGGTCCCCCCAATTGCAGATATATTAATGTCTATGTATTTAGAATGCAATGTTATTAAAGTCCCAGTTGGTGTAATGGTATGGTGTCCCTATACTTCTGTCTATATAGTGTATGTTCTACTTTTATTTTATTTATTTTTTCCAAAGCCAGTTTGCAGAAAGCCGAATTTCGTTTGCTTGGCAAAACCAGTTTTTACTTGCGTTTGGTGACTTCCCAGTGTTAGTTTTTGGAACCTGTAATATTTTAAACATATGATTATTGTTTCCTATTCTTGTATTGTGAAATGTTACCCCTTAGATAAAGGAAGAAATGTTTTTTTAAAGTTAATTTTGAAAACAAAAAAACACCCCTTGCACATTCTGGATAGCAGGTCGGTGCATGTGACACAATATTGTAGAAAGAATAAAATCCCACGCACTTCTGGAGCTTGCCGGTTTCTTAATACAAGGCTCAATAAAACAAAGTTGTTGTTTTAACTGCAATTTTAACACATTTATAGGTATTGATACTTGTTTTATTCTGTTTTTTTCCTCTCTTTATCATTTGTTTTATATTTGAAATCATATTTAGTTTGACAGTTGAATTTCAAATGTAACTGATCTAACTGATCAGAAAAACAAGATACACGGTCAACTTACGGATACTTCAGTGCAATGAAGGCAGCAGTTCGGTGGAATACCCCAGTGGCAACCTTCCCTCTTGCTTAGTGTCTGGAAATAGTGCTACTTGCTATTGCTACTGCAGTTAACCTGGCGATTCCAGCTACTCTTGCTCTCCAGACAGGCGCAGTCTGGGAGAAGGAATTCTGGAACAGCCGCGTTCACTGCGCTCTATCCCAACTGCGTTTGCGCCTCACAAGTACTGCATGCCTCCGCACCCCTGCGTGTCCCGTGGGCCGCCCTGCTGTAGTCAGTTGTTTTATTCTGGGTTTTTTTTCTCTCTTTATAGTAATACCCTTAAAAGACAATCATCAGATGAATTGCTATAATTTTATTCTATTTACATCCCTAGTTTGAAACAAATAAATTCATTTGCATTGTCATAAAATGTCTTGAATTTCTTTTATTTGGTGTGACAATTGAATTTCAAATGTTTCTAATCTAACAGTGATCAGAAAAACAAGATACACCGTCAACTTACAGATACTTCGATGCAATGAAAATATAAAAATACAAGATATGTTTCAAAGGTATTAAACCATATGTAAATATTCCAGGAATATAAATATATCAACAACACAATACTTTCCCAAAAGTCACACTGGCACTGGGCTGTCTTTATTTATTGCCCTGTTTACAGCCTTAATCTGGCACCAGTTGTTTTTAAAATGCCTTGAAGTTTTTTTTTTGTTTTGGCTGAAACTGCTGTTTAATTATACATTAGGAAATCTGCTAGCTACAGTATTAAATTATTTATTTATTTATTTGGGGGGGGGGGGGGGGGGGTATATTTTTTGGTCATTGTATTAATTTTCAAATGTTAATTTTTCCACATACTGTAAGAGTGCTCAAGAACTCTTGTGTTTTATATTTTTGTCCTCATTTTCTAGGTATATTTCTCCATTTGGCCACTACAGTTTACAATCCCTCAACTTTCCAGAAGAGAACGACAAGACTATGGAGAAAATCATTACTGAGGACTCCATCTGTGGCTCAAACTCCACCGATTCCCAGCTCTCTCACACCGACTGTTGCATGTCTGGAAATGAGTCCTCTTTGAGCACACAGGCTGACTTCAGGGATATCTGCAGAGACAGAAAGACCAACTACAGATCCACACAGACCAGCTACAGCCCTTACCAGCCCCCGCTAGGTCTACCTTCCGGTTACAATCCCCAGACGCCCTTTCCCAGTCAGACGGAAGTATGTCTGAGCACCCTAGAGCCACACAACAGGGACCTGCTCCACTTGAGTTCCATTGGCAGCAGCTCGGTGGAATATCCCAGTGGCAACCTTCCCTCTTGCTTAGTGTCTGAAAATTACTGCAGTTATCCTGGGGATTCCAGCTACTCTTGCTCTCCAGACAGGCACAGTCTGGGAGAAGGAAGTCTGGAACAGCCGCATTCACTGCGCTCTATCCCAACTGCGTATGCGCCTCACAGCTACTGCATGCCTCCGCACCCCTGCATGTCCCGTGGGCCGCCCTGCTGTAGTCAATACCCTGTGGATGTGTATCAAATGGATCAAGGCTCTCATTACAGGCCACATTACCACATGCCCTGTTGGCCTTCACGTAAGTCTCGGTTCTTTGTTCAAATTCCATGTCTATTATGTCGGCGCCGATGGCAGCGTGCCGACATTTAGCGCCTTTGCGCTTCGGGAGTCCCGAGTTCGAGTTCTGGCTCGTGGACCTTTCCCGATCCCCCCCCCCCTCTTTCTCTCACCCACTTCGCTTCCTGTCGACCTACTGTCGAAATAGTAGGCATCTGTTAATAAAAGGCATAAAACGCCAAAAAAAATCCATGTCTATTATGAATGACTCATAAGTGAGTCAGTTTCTTTCTTTTACATGGAACTTGTTAATTTGTCAGTCACATTATGAATAATTCCAACTTTCATAAGTCTATTGTCATTAAAATTGCCTCATATTGTATGTGCGGAGTTCTTTATCAGTGGTCTTTATCAACTTTACGGGAAATTTATCCAGCCTGTGCCAACCAAATTAAATTGCTATACATTTTTGCCAGTATACTGTCAGATTAAGCAACAAGTTTCCATTTTACAAGTGGCACACTTCTTAGAAGATGAAACACAAAATATAAAGATTAGATAATGCTCAGAACTACACTTTGGAGCAAACTCACTAAGCATTACATTAGTTTATGTGTGGTGCTCAAACCTACATTTTATTCACAGACCACCCACGATATAGTTTAGACAAATGTTAAATGTACTGAAATGTTTTAAATTAAAATGCATTTCTGTGTAAAGTACAGTATAAACATAAGTAGCTGCGTTTTCAGTGTATTTCCTTGCAATACTCTCTCAATTGTATAATAAAAAAATTTACATGTGATATAAATTCCTGCATTAACAAACTTTAGTATGTATATGCGAGTATATCTGACTGTTCTCTGACAGTCCATCTAACATGTACTTTGGGTGGTCTTTTTGGTTTTGGCAAGCTAATTGGTTGCCCCTACTTAATGACCAATAGCATTTTTTAAACTCTATTAACAAATTGATAAAGAAAAGCCTTTGATAAAACAACAAAGAAAAGCAATGGGCAAAATCCAGTTTACAATGTGCATTTAAAGAATTACTTTTAACCTACTATTGTTTTTGTGTTATTTAACTACATTTTAAAACATGAATTAAATAGTTTTCATGTCAATTTATGTTCGCTTAAAATTATTTATGAATTTGTTTTATTAACTTCCTTTTAAAACAATAATTAAATAAGCACTTTTAAATATGCCTATTAGTTTGTCCATTTAAAAAGTATTTTCAGTTATAAAACTGATAACTTATTGTTTCATTTTATTTATAAATGTCACTCCTAATCCTCCATAAATTTTTGTTTGGAACAGTTAATGGTGAGCTGTTGCCACACACAAAAGGCAGGTGGTAAATGTAATTTTACTAAAAAAAATGTTAGTGCACATTTACAGTAAACATGGTAGCAGTAATTCATCAGATGATGGAAAAGCACATTATAAATGGTCATGTATCCATAATAAAAATAATTTACTTGATCTGTAAAGTGTAAGTGTAACTCAAATTATCAGGTTGAACCAATTATATGTAATAATATTTTTGGTTTGAAAAATAAAATCAGTTTATTGAGATGTTACTGTATCGTAAATTACCTGACAAAACATTTTTCGAGTGTATGCAGCAGGGCTCAACATTAAAGCTTGTCTGGGACAAGTAAAAGAGACTTTTATGCCCAAGTAGCCTGAATAAAAGGGCAATAACAAAAATTAACCAGGGAAGCACCAAAAAATGTAAATGTTTTGACAATAACAAGGTTGCGCCAGTTGAGGCTCACGCAGCCTTGGCAGTGTGTGGGAGAGAGACTCGTGGAGAAATCAAAGCAAATGAGCGCAACAGCACACACCAAGGAACTCACTGAACAAATGTACCGTGGTAAAACTTCTAAATGTTGTTTTGTATTTATAACATATATCACAAATATGTTTAAGTTAGTAAAAGCTATTATATTTATAAAAAAAACTTTTTTTTCTTGACGTAACTTTTTTTACTTGGAAGTGAATGACCGATTTACTTGTCCAAAGGACAAGCACGTCAAGGCTTAATGTCGAGCCCTGTGCAGATTCACATCTCACTCACTTCATCATTTCATCTCCAACAGGCCCTGAAAACAGCAGACAATCAGCCTCAGAGTTCACATACAGGTAATGTGAGTTTTTTCTGTACAATTAATATGGGACAGCCAGTCTTGTATTGTATTGTAAATTATTTCATAGGTTTCTGATTTTCACTAATACAAAAATGCTTTATGCAATGCTTTCATGTCTTCCAGTGGCCACACCTCTCCTCACCCGCGAGCTAAACTAACCCCAAGCACAGCCCCTCTATCCCTGGAGCAGAGTAAGTGTAAATACTATAGTTGAGTAACACTGAAAGAATGTCAAATTTGAATAAGATCTATGTGCCAGTAACGTCAGACTATAATAAGCAAATGGCAGTTCTTGTTAACTTATCTTTTCTACTTCAATGTCATGTGATACAGTAGATTAAGTTTATATCTACTGTATATTCTACTGTAAAATGCAGTAGATTATACAGTATTTAAAAAATAATAATATAATATGTTCTGTTTCTGGAAGGAATTTTATGTTCTTTTTCACTTTTCATTATTGCAGGGAAGGTCTTTGTTACATATGAAGCAGACAGTGAAAAACATGTCAAAGAGATCATCAACTTTGTCGCCCTACTGAGACACAACGGTTTCTACACTCACGTAAGACAAGCAACCTGTACCAGACATTGCCTTCCAGCCATGCTTGTCTCCTGATATGGGGTCTGCCTGAGATCATGTTCAGTCTCTTTGTTCTTTTTGCGCAGATTGACATGTTTGAACAACAGTTCAAGAGCATAAGCAAGATCGACTTCATGGAGAGATACATCAGCGAAGTAAGTAGAAACCAGGCCTGCTAGTATTTCAGAAAGCGTGTTTTTCCTAGTTTGACTTACACAACAGAAGATCTAGTCCACATGGCAGATTATTCTGGCCAAGAACCACCTACAGGAAAATACTGTATGACTGAAAACTCTAGAGCAGCTCAAACAGTTTTGGTTTTACAAGGCATTTAGGAGCAGGTTTTTTGGAAAGAGATGATATGACAATAATAGACCAGAGTGAAAAATAAACATTTAATCAATGGCACAACAGTCTCTGAAAACACTAGAAAAATAGTGGGAAATGTATTTAGAAGGAGTGAATGTGTGATTTTGTATTTTAAAATGTAATTTATTCCTGTGATGGCAAAGCTGAAATCTTTCAGCCAATTCTTCAGTTTCATATACTTTTTCAAAAATCATTCTAATATACTGATTTGGTGCTCAGTTTTAATAATGGTTCTCATTACTATCATAAACAAACAATTCTGCTTAATATTTTTGTGAAAACGATGCATTTATAGGATTCTTTTATGAAGAGAAGGTTCAACTGCATTTCTTTTGGTTCTTTTGCAACATTATAAATGTCTTTACTGTCACTTTTGATTAATTTAATGCATCCTTGCTGGATACAAATCTTAAAATCATACTTACCGCAGACTTTTGAATAGTAGTTTATCACGGTTTCCACAAAATATTAAGCGGCAAAAATGTTTTTAATATTGCTAATAATAAGAAATGTTTATTGAGCAACAAGTAAGCAAATTATAATAAATAGCATATTCGAAAATATTCAGCATATTCATACGATATATTCAAATAAAAAAACATTAAAATATTAAAAAACATAAAAAAAATCTTATTTATTCCAATCTGCTGACTGGTGTAGCATTCTTTCTTTTAGGCTACCAGTGCATTAAAACAAGTGAAATATATATTTTTTTATTAGTGAGCTTTAAATTTAATATGTGTGAATGACTGTAGTGTTTTTTTTCTTCTTGGTGTAAATAAACTTTTCATCTGCAAACGTTTATTTATTTTTGTTTTCCTGAATAGACTTTCACTGCTGTGTCATTGATGAAGGTTACACGTGTATCTTTGGCTTGTAAAAAAATGAAATGTTATTCCTAATATCATCAAGGACATGCAAACTCTGTAACCTCTTAAATAGAACAAGGTGCAGCTGGGAAAACTTGTTCAATGGTTACATTTATACAGCAATGTTTACTATTGAATTGCAAACAGTGGAAGAACTAACATCGCTGTTTATCGTCAACACATACAACCTTTTCTGAGTTGCTCACCATTGTTGAGGATGTCTTCAGCTCTCACAAATTTCAAATTTTTTGGTTCATTGACATTGTATGTCTGATAAAATGTCACCATTTAACCTTAAAAACTTTTTTTAAATGGCAAGGATTGATCCCTGACATACAGTTGAACATGCTATCACATATTCCCTTTCAAATTCATGACCACAGGTGGTTGCTTTTGGGTGAATTCATCTGTGCTGAGAAACTGAACAGGTTCAATGTGGCAATGTCACACAGGCAGTGTGTTTCCTATTTGTTCTCAATGATATTTGCTTCTAAATGCATACAGCCAGTTTGAGCTTGGACATCATTTATTTATGTGACTGATATTTGATGAAAGTATGATGGCAGGAAACAATCCAACAAAACTTTTAATTTTATGCTTTTGGAGGAGGAAGAAAAGAACATTTAATAATAATAATAAAAAACATGTAACCCTGAAATTTTAATTAAGAGATGAAATGGGGGAGGACATATTTCTGGCATAAATGTTATTTATTTTTTTTACAAGAAAACTGTCTACTGCACTGAGAACGATAAACCTTGCATATCTAATTTCAGTAGATTTTGTTTTTTTCCTGAGTATCTGAAGTAATTGTTCCCTCATGTCCATTCAGTTGTCTAATTTTGTGTGTTTGTGCTCTGTTATGCACAGAAAGACTATCTGATCATCATAGTCATTAGTCCAAAGTACCACGAGATTGTGACCAATGCCTCGTTTTTCATGGAAAATGATGAAACTCTCAACACTGTCTACATACACAAGCAGGTACATCTTGGGTGGAACGGAATCTAGGTTTTTCTTTATTTTTCTTTGTCAGTTGACTCATAAGAGCGCTTTGTCTTTTAGTTACAAAACGAGTTCATTCAGAACGGTGCCAGGAATTACAGATTCATCCCCATCTTGTTTCCCGGTGCCAAGAAGGTAAAACTGCAACTTATAAACCCAATTGCTTAACGAACAGGATGTTTGTGTCAAAAAAGGAGCCAAAATACTAATTCGTGATTAACTATTATGATAACAGCAATAGACATTTGTGATTGTTTGTACAGTACTATAGTATCACCCAAAGGATTGCTCCATTGGATTCCACTTAAATCCAGTTCAGATGTAATGACGCCTCGTTGTTAGTTTACAACATTTCTGTGTCTGTTTCTTTCTGTCAGTGCCATGTACCGTCATGGCTTCAGAGCACACAAATCTTCACCTGGCCCAGAGACCGTGATGACATTCTTCGTCGACTCATGCGTGTTGAGAAGTACAACCCTCCACCCATAGGAGAGCTGCCCACCATTGTCTCCATCCCAATTTAGTTGGCTAGGTTTGTTTTTGTATGTAGACCCATGATATGCCAGTTGTAAACAGGCCTGGTATCCGTTTTAAATTAATTTACCCCTCTGAGCAGCTAGATGAGTGTTTAGTATGGTAAAATCCCTGAAGCTACAGTTATTTGATGTAATCTTTATAGAAACCTCATGTCATAATTAATATTTCACAACTCATCAATGATGAATAAGGCTGTGTTTACACTGGCACAAAAAATCAGATCTTTCGCTCACATCTGACACAGATCGGAATTTGTTGCACACGTGTAAACACAAAAACCCGCACGGGATCCGATTTTTTTGCATCAGATCTGAGCCACTTCCAAATGTGGATTTTAATCTGATATCTGGACATCCGACCTACGTCTAAACACACATATCCGATTCTCCACAGAACTCCTAATGCGAGGGCGGCATGTTTGCTCATAAAGATTTTTAATGGCGTTTTAATGCTGGCGTGCTGTAAGCGCTCGCATTTTATTGAGATTGAAACTTTTTATAGGTAAGAAATTGCACATTCAGGAGCTGGTTTTCAACCCCCGCCCCGTGAATTTTGAAAATACAACAGCTGAAAGCTACATATATTTCTCAGCAATGAGGTGATAACTTAGCAGTTTTTGTAATTAAACCGACAAGCTTGTTTGCAATGCTTCACGCTCGCTCGCTCGCATGTGGGTGCATCCATGACAGCCGTTGTGCTGGCAAATAATAATGGCCATTCAACGTGAATTATATAAATAATTTTAAAAGCACGGCCATTTAAGACCCGATGGTCTACCATGTGCATAGTAAAGCGATCACTGCAGACAATGTAAACACAGATATCGGATACCAGTCGTGTCAAAAGTGAATGTAAACAGACGTGCCAAAAAATCGGATATGGTCAAAAGATCGGATCGGTGCATTAAGACTTGCAGTGTAAACGCAGCCTACACTCTTAAAAATAAAGGTGCTTCAAAAGGTTCTTCAAGCGATGCCATAGAAGAACCATTTTTGGTTCCACAAAGAACCATTCAGTCAAAGGTTCTTTAAAGAACCATCTCTTTCTTACCTTTTTGTAATCTGAAGAACCTTCTTTCACCACAAAGTGTTGAAACAGAAAGGTTCTTCAGATGTTGAAGGTTCTTTATGGAACCATTTAGACTAAAAGGTTCTTCTATAGCATTGTGAAGCACCTTTATTTTTAAGAGTGCAAGTCAGAATGTGTCTCGACATGTAGAAGAACTGCAAATGTTGATGAGTTACATTAGTTTGAGTGCTATGATTTTTGGAAGTTAGCTCATTTTTTTCTTTACTTTGTATTAAGTTGTATCAAATTACGATAATTTGGGGGGCAAAAAAGGTCCATTGTCAATTGTATAGTGATGTGCTTCCACAGAAGTTGCATTCAAAACAAGCAGCTTTCTGTTGGTCATTGACACAAATCCATGCGACCAACTTGAAGTCATTGTGAAATCTGCATGGGGAAATCTTTTGCTCCGTGCCAAGTTCTTGATCTTGTGGATTTCTATTGAAATTAGTTGTTTCCGCAAACATTCAACAAACAATGATAAATGTGACCACACCTTTGGACTTAATGGAGCTTTATGTAACATCGGGTAGCTATTAAAAAAACGCTTTTAACATAGAATAATTATAGTAGACCAGAAATCTTCAAAGACAAACCTTTTCATCATGCTTCTTTGCTGTTGTGTGAACCTGAAAGAAGCCAGTACTACAATATCTTCACACACTTTTCAGAGTTTATTATATAAAACCGCTTGTGCATTGTGCCTTAGAATTTCCCTTTGAGTCATTAGAATTGTGCCAGAAGAAAACAACCTTTATGTTGTGAGCTTCACATGGAGATTTCATGGTCATTCATGTTCTTAGATGATCATAGTCTGTTTTTAAAAATATAAACCCATTTAATAAATGAAATAATCTGGATGGTTTGTTATACAACTTGAACAAGAATAGAAAAATATGTTTTCAAAAAAGATTTGAAAATATCTAGTGACGAGGGTAGTCTTACATGGAATGGAAGCTTGTTCCAAAGTTTAGGGCCTACTATAGAAATGCATGTATAGTTTAATGTAGCATGTTATTGAATGCACTGGTGGTGTTGGTTCAATCAAAGAAACTGAATTGAGTTGAAGATGCTTGGGATTTCATCGATTAGATAACAATGGGTGTGTGTATGGGTGCATGTTTATGTAATTGCAGTTGCCTATAAAAAAGGTTGAATGCTTTGTGCTTTGCCAGAAAATATGGCATGGCGTGCAAAACAATACCTGCCTGAGGCTATTGCCACATGCTCTAGAGAGACTCAAAATTCCTCACTCAAAGGAATTCCTCACTCCTTTAATTTCTAAAAAATAATTCTCAACTAACTGCCCAGTAGAGTTATGCACAGACTTTAAATGCTGTTTTTAGCAATCTGACAGGTGGATGCACACACCCTTTAACAAACAGGGTTTATGAAATGATCAAATATATCTTGAAATGCAATATAGGTTGCTTTTGGATGAAAGCATCTGTAAATGTAAAAAGGATAATGCCAGTCTTGTATTAATTTGTTTTCACTGAAAACAATAGAACTATTAGTATTTATGGGTATTTTATATATTTACAGGGCTGTCAAGCAGGAGTTTCAGTGGGGGGAAAAATTATAATAATAACTTTCCCCCACAAAGCGATATTTAGGGTCACCTTTTTGAAGTTTGACGTCCCCAGTCAACCATCCACTTTAGTTTTAATGTAAGAGAGTAAAACATCATATTTTGTGTTTAATGGAATAACCACACACGAGTGAGTAAATGATGTCAGAATTTTTTCATTTTCAGGTGAAATATATCTTAAAAGCTTCTGAACTAAACATATATCAACACACCTGTCAAATCAAACTTGTCAAAATCTCTCAAACAACTGTCATGCAGGATGGACTAGAGAGCTCAATCCATTTAGTTTGTGTCTTCAAGGAGTTACTGAAGGTTAATTAAGCCCCATTAAATAAAGTGTAACCCTTCCTATTGAGGCTTATCAGGAATGAATTATTCTAAATCAGCCGTAACAATATAATCAAGAGGATTTGGTCATAGAGAGACTGACATAATCCTCATATGAACAATATTAGCAGTATCCAAAAATGATTTGCTGCGAAGAAATGGTTATCAGTTTGTAATTAAAATGAGATGAGAAACAGAATGATTGATTACTCAAGGTTATGGGAACAGGATCTCCAACGTAGTCTTTTTATAGCTGGTTAATTTCTAGATGAAACAAGTTAATTCCAGGAATATGTCATCCATCAACTACTACACAGCTATGTGAAATATTTTGAAGGCTTGTCAGTGACAGTGTTTTTACACCTTCACGTTCATTTGGAAAATCTACAGAGTCCAATCAGCACTCGCAGGACAAAACTGCTGTTCTTTGCTTTGTTGTGCCTTAAGATGGCACTCTTTACATATACTATCAGATGTTCTATAAGAAATCAGATAGCAGGCCTACTTAATAATACTGTATTAATAAGACATTATTGTGGTGGATTCTGGGGCTAGCTGTCACACTTTTTACTCAAGTGAATATTTTCCAAGTAGATTTATTTTTGCAAGTCAATTTATGTATCACTTACCTTTTAGTGCTATCAGAACACAACAGCAGGGCAGTTGGTCACTTCTTATATTTAACTGACATTTAGTCCATCTTACCTTTGATGCCTGTACATTAAAATATATGAAAGTCTTTACAGTAATGTTTTAATTTTTAGCCAGTGCAGTTGAGATTATAGCTACATTTGTTTCCCAATAAGGTAGTAAAAATATATTATTCATGTTTTTTCTATCCGCCAGTTATAATGTAGACCAATGTATCCGCAGTACTGCTGGGGGGGGGGATACTGTCCCTTAGATATATATTAAATATAGCCCTTCTCCCCTATAATGCTTTAAATGTACATTAGGATATTAATATGAAAGCAAATCCCTGCATTAATGTTCAATGGTTTTTGTCATTATTGGAACTCTTATGTTCTTTTAAGCATTAGCCTAATTTATGTTATGTTTCTACAGAATGTTATTATGGAAGTTTATTATAAAATATTACATAATCTCTTTAACTTTTAGCCAGCACAGTACTGTAGAGATCATTTGTTATCCAATTAAGTAGTAACATATATTATTCTGGTTTTTGTGTCCTCCAGTTACACAGCAGTCCACTGTGATATTTAAAAAAACATATAAAGGTAATATTTAATTTCCCTTTCTAATACCAAAGCAATACTGCTGGGAATTTTTTTTTTTACTGTACATGAGCATTGTGACCTAATTAGAAAATCATCCTAATAATAGCAGAATCTGCATTGCCGAGGCTGTCCTTTAGGGGGCAGTATCTCATCAGGGCTTTGTTTCGGATGGTTTGCAGTTCCACCCAGAATTGAAGGTTTCACACATTCTATTTTTACACTGCTGAATAATTCAATACAGAGCCATATATGATCAGTGACATTTCCTCTTTTCTTGCTGTCTGACAGTGGGGTTGCATCACTTTATCCTCGATGTGGTGTCTAGAAAGTGATATACAGCTGTTAAACTATGAATAGCTTTGTTCTAGGACACAAAATGACATTAATGAATATATACACAATGACCTAAAAACCACCCTCGATTTTCAACTTCAATTGACTCTCTGTTTACGGAGATGATATAATAATGCGAAATGATGCTGTCATAATAGATTTCTTTGAGCATATTCCGTAACGGTCCATTGCCATGCTACTGAACCCCCACTAGATCAGTGACACAGTATTTCATCATTAAATTCCAATTTAATATGTGCTTTATGGCAAATAAGGACGGGAATATCAAAGGAGGAAACAAACTCTCCTAGGAAGAAAAAAGAGTGTTTAAATCACATTTTTGACGCTTCCAAAGGCCCCGTATTTCTTTCATTTTGATTGCATTTGGTGGGAGCGTTTTATAGGAGTTACTTCTGTAAGTATCTGGGGAGTAATTCTGCTCATGAAATCATGGCTGCTGTTTTGTTCCTGCAAGGGGAAGCCGGGTGATCCTTAAACTTGCCAAGTGTTGTTGCCATGGGAACATCACAGTTCATCAAGGTTCAGTGCAATAAAGGGAGTCAAAGTTTAAATGACAATTATGGACCATCGCAAACTACCAAGTAATAACATGCTGGTACTCAACAACTAACTC